ACGTCGGGCGGCTCCGAGAATTTCACAGTAATGTTTACCTGCCAGTGTCGTTTCATAGAATAAGTAATTTTAAATTGTTATCGGCGGAACCGGACAATCGCATGTATTTATGGATTATAAATAATTATTAAACATGTATTATAATATTCAAATTATAATTTTACAAAATTTCAACAGCTATTCACAATTTATTAAACTATTTACTCGAAATTGTTATTAACATCTATAAAATAATTTTGTACGCCAATGTATCGTGTCCACTTCGGTGAGATCCGCTGACAACCTGTCAAGTTATGTGTATAAAGTGGGAGAACTGGCAAAAGCATTTCCAACTTTTACTTCTGTTCTAAAAGCACTTGGTTCCATGCAGGTACACTCAAAGTTTGGAGGTTTGTAGGCCCTAACAGAGTTGTACTTGGAATTTTATAGTCAAAATAGATTAAAGTTAGCCTAGTAGTCAGGCTACATGACAATAAAGAGGCTGATACATTTCCTGAGGAGGAGCCTCAAAGGCTCTACATGGCCCAAAACCTTTTTATGCCATCAAATGATATTTATTAAGCTATATTTGGTCTTGCAATTTTGTGCAATTTTGTCAGGGAGTCTTTCAAACTAACTATCCATACTTTATAAACGATAGCACTCCGCATACATGTCTCAGGTCTTCATAGACCAAACAGATTATAATTGTCCTCTTTTAATGAGATTATCACCAGACTCACAGGGTGGAGTCCTTTCTCCTCTACTGTGGAACCTTGTGGCAGATGAACTGCTGAAAACACTAAACAATCAAGGCCTGTACGCCCAAGGATATGCCGATGACATAGTCATCCTTATCCGAGGGAAACACCAAACCACAGTCTTTGAACTCATGCAAGGAGCTCTTAGGCTGACAGAAATGTGGTGGGTTAGGGAAAACCTCTTGGTAAACCCTGACAAGGCACAACTCATAACCTTTACTCGGAAAACAAGGTTGGAGGTTTTTAAAAACTCCGACTCTGTTTGGAGGAAGGCTAAACAAAACAAACCAAGTAAAATATCTAGGTCTAATCCTAGATAACAAACTTACTTGAAACCAACACTTACAAAAAGTGACCAACAAATGTAAAGTGTCTCTCATTGTAGGGAGAGGGGCATTTCGAAAAACATGGGGATTAAAACCAAAAATGGTCCACTGGCTATAATTGGCAATATCATGACCCATGATAACTTATGGAGCGGTTGTTTGGTGGCCAAAAGTAAACCAGAAAACAGCCCTCAATACCCTCTCAGGAGTACAGAGGCTGGCATGCCTTTGTATTACAGGAGCACAGAGAAGTACACCAACAGCCTCTATGGAAATCATTCTAAACCTCCCACCCCTTGACCTAGTCATAAAGGGGGAGTCCAGAATGAGTGCATACAGACTGGAAATCTCCAGCAACTAGAACCCACTGAGACATATAAAACATACCAGAATAACACATGAAGTAAATGATTCTATATTAAATATGGGATCAGATCACATGACACCCCTCCTAACCTTTAACAGACTCTTCCAGGTCAACTGTAACTATAACGAGGTAAATAAGGAGATAGATAAATACTTGCTTAGCGGTCTCGTATGGTACGGATGGATCTAAAACTAACAAGGGAAGAGGCTCTGGGGTACATGGAGTTAAACCCAAATGCGACATCATCGTCTCACTGGGAAAACATGCCACTGTATTTCAGGCTGAAATACATGGAATTGAATTGTGTATACGAGAGAATTTAAGAAGGAAGTACAAAAAACAAACCATCCTAATTCTCTCAGATAGCCAAGCAGCCTTAAAGGCTCTTGATTCAAACAGAATCAAGTCAAAGCTTGTGTGGAACTGCCTTGGAATACTAAATGATCTGGCAACCCACAACAAGGTAAAACTAGCGTAGGTACCAGGGCACAAAGGTATCCAAGGAAATGAAAAGGCTGATGAACTCGCCAAAAAAGGATCAGATCTACCACTCACAGGACCCAAACCTGCATTTGGGATAAGCAGAACCTCTGCTCGACAGGCAGTGAATAGGTGAATAAGCACAAAACACCAAATTCATTGGCACAGAATCAGTAAGCTCATGCTAAAGGGACCAAACCCACGCATGACTACTGAGGCACTACAACTCGCAAGGCCTCAGATATCTACCATTATGGGATTACTAACGGGCACTGCTTGCTAAAACACCTTCATGTGATGGGATTATACAATGATCCCACTACGTGTAGACTCTGCATAGAAGAGGAAGAAACCTGGTACCATGTGATCTTCGAATGCGAAGCTCTTACTAGGTGACGTTTCATCCTTTTCGGCCTAGAACGGGAAAGAACGCCCCAGGAACACTTGGTAGGGAACATATTAAAACTAACCAAAGACACAGGACTATTCCAAAGATAGTACCTGAATACGGGGAAAGCAGGGGAATACAATAGACCCAAGAGGCTACAGTGGCCTGGGCCAAACCTAACCCTACCTGCTTACAACCGATAAAGATAAAGATCACCAGACTGGGGACTCAAAAATATTGTCCATTTCAATGCATCTTAAAGACTCCGCGTACTCTCAAACAAAAATTACACCAACAACATTATCTATTCCAAAGAGGACGACCAGATGGTGCAACAAAAAAACAACACTAGTAGCCTTTTTAAGGAAATTAGAACTCAATCTTAAAACCGTAAAAATAGACGGGATAGGTAAAGAATGGACAAAAGATGTCAAGTATCTAGGCTATGGACAACAAATTGCTCCAAAAAACATAAGAAGGAAGTAATAAATAAGGCCACAAAAGCCTAGATTGTATACATGGTCATTGTGAGAAAAGATAGGGATATAACCCGAACAATCTGCAATAACTTACGGGGCTGTAGCCTGGGATAACAGAAACAGTTTAGCTACTAAGAGAGCTAATATCTCAAAGGTACAACGACTAACCTGTGTTTGCAAAAAGGTGTATTTTTTAAATATATGTATTTTATTTCATTTTTAGAATGATTTGGTAATACTGTATTCAACACTAGAATGTTTTTAAAAAATATTACATGGTTGCCACACAATTAGAGAATAAAGGAGACCCCAAATTAAATTATCATAATTTAAATAGGTTTACATTAATTTCAAAATTGTTTAAAATACAGACTTAAAAGATACTAAGCTAACGATTAATGGTAATAGAATTGGTTTATTTTATACAGAGTGTATTGAAACATGTCTTGAATATGGCTAATTTTAGGTTCAATTTACTCAATTTTTTCAAATGCAACACCCTGTATATTATTTTGGCATAAAATTGCTTCTAAATTTGCCTATCCAACGATACCAATCTGTTAGCCAATAACACAAGGATATCGAGTGACACTTAGTGATGTTTAGGTCCATAGCATTATTCGCACACCACTCATCAAGCCTAGCCAGATCATACTGAAGTTTGAGACAATCCTCAAGAGATGAAACTGCTAGGTAGCATCATCAGCAAAGCATAAAAATTTAGCAAACTTGAAATATTCTGAGATATCATTTATAAATAATAAAAATAACAAAGGTCCCAAATGGGACCCTTAGTCCGCGTACATTCTGGTAAAAAGCACTAAATTCTCTCCATTATCTTTGCGGGTTTTTAGCTCAGCCTGTACAGACTTATTCCTTTCTCTTTCTTTGGAGGTTAGATCAAAGCCCAGCTGCGGAATTAAGAGTCACTCTCAAAACTAGATTATTATTTTTGTTCGGTTTACCCATTCTTAAAACCTCTACGATTTCAGGTGGATCCTCAGACAGTATTTTTAAAACATTCCTGGTTTCCTTATCATCATTGTCCTCTGGTTCATTAAATAACATTATACTATTGGCCCGTTTTTGACGCTCTTGCAAATTGAACTAAAAATGTGCCATATTTAAGATATTTTTCAAATCCAGATTTATCACCACTTCGTAGTCAAAATCTAATAATTGGGTCCATGAGAAAATCCTCAAACTCTTCATTTTTTATGTATGTTCAACGATAATTTTTTAACACGGTGTCCGATTTCAATAATTTTTTTTTTGTTAGAAAGGGGCTACTTTAGGGGTGGTCCCATATAAATTTGGTCAAAATCTAATAATTGGATCCATGAAAAAATCCTCAAAGTCTTCATTTTTATGTATGTTTAGCGATAATGCTTTACCACCTTGTCCGATTTATACGATTCTTTTTTTGTTAGTAAGGGGGTACCTCAGGGGTGGTCCCATATAAATTTGGTTAAAATGTGGTGATGGCATCTGCACGTTTTTGAAGTCGGTTTTTTTAAATTTTTAATTTGTAATACTTGTCAACAATTTTGAAATAATGATAATTTAATTTGGGGTCTGCATCATTATGTAATTTTATAAAAAATTAACTGCTTGTCAAAAAAATTCTAGGACTGAATACAGTATTAGCAAACCATTCCAAAACTGAAATAAAATACAGGGTGTTTTATTTAAAAAAATATATCTCTATTTGCCTGGCAAAAACGCAACACCGTGTACATCCAAAAATATTTTTAAAATAGGTATTTTTTAAATCCATATAACTTTTATTTGAAACTTGTTTGCATGTCTGTAACACAAATTGAACAATTACGCACTAATGGGACACCCTGTATAATTGAACTTTAGTTTCTCATTTCAGAAAACATATTTACAGTTTTAAATAAAAAGCGAATGTATAATACAAATAATGTTCCTTTGTTTCTAGATAAGTAATTTGATGGTAACTTCTTATAGTTTATCGTATACCGCAATCACATTGGTTTTGTAATACTGTTACAAATTATTGCGGTAATATAATATTAATTATACTAATATTTGATAACGTAATATTGCAAACTTAACGATGTTTCATAAAAATTACAAAAAACGTTTTTATATGCTCATAAAATAATGAATGTAATTGCAGCTACCACGTCAGAATAAATATTTATGTTAAACTAAGTTAAAATAGGTAATAAAGCGATTTTTAATCTTTTACAGAGATTTCCTTCCAAGGGGGTCAGGAATTGTAACTAGGAGGCCGCTTATTCTGCAACTTATTAATTCAAAACATGGTAAGTCATTTATAAAACAATCGCCCACCGAAAAGTAGCCATGAGGGTTTTGGCTAATAATAGCGTAGATTTTAAGTACGAACAATTTTTGAAAAATGTAATTGTTTTTAAAGAACGATCTCACATTTACGACATACTAACATTTAGGTACGTCACTGGATATTTTATTTAACTATTGACAAGAGAGATTCCATAGAATGGCTCCACGATCACCAGATCTTAATCCATTATTAGTTTCTGTTTTTGAGTGGCTACTTAAAAAATAAAATATATTCAATCCTACTTGCTTTACTGTGATTTATGTCAAAGCCTCACCAACGAACGACGTCGACAAATCATCCAATAAAATATTTTATATCTATAAGTTATTCTCCTATATCCTACAAAGTTTAATATTAGTTTTTATACCGGATATCCTGTTGATCCGCATTCTTACGATATTTTAATTTGGGTCCTGTATCTGTAAGATAAAGATGGTGGTTGCCTTCACATCACTTATGCCTCACTAGTTCCATTGTGTATCCTTCTGAATCAAGGAGATCTCTCTCATGTTGGCCGGTTTAACCAATACCACCAGATATCTAGGAATAATTATAGATAGACACCTAAGATAGGATTTTTGTAACAAGTAGCACGTCGTGTTTTGTGTTTGCTAAATGTAGTTGGGTATAGGGGAGTGGGGTTAACAACGTGCACTATGTCCCGGTGATGGGAGCTGTCGTGTAACCAGTAAAATTCAAAGTAACGTTGCTTATGGATGGATTGGTTTTTCGTTTTTTGATGAAATAATATTCTTTTAGACGTGTACCGTACAACAATAAGAAAATCTCTTTGCAAACATGTTTCTTCGTCAGGTTTTGCTACTTCCGGGGTACCGATTTTGGCCACGTGACCGGATGTTTGTATTTTTCATCGAAATTCGGAATATAGCTTAAATGCGGTTTTTCTGAACTTGAGATGATTAAGTAAGGATTTTTTTGTGTCTGCTGTTGATATGCAAAAAAATTTTAACTTTGAAATAGGATTAAAATCGAAACCAAAAGTAAAAAAATGGTTTAATTGCCTTTAAAATGTTTGTATTGGGTCTTCAACAATACCGAAAACCGACGTGACCAAATCGTTATGACAGCGATTGGTAAAAATAAAAGTAAAAATCCCTAGATGTGAGCCAGTGCCGTAGGTATTTTATTACATAATAGATCTTCTTTTTTATGGCTAAAACTACGAGAACAAAATTTATTTAGGTAACTGTTTTAGAATTAAAACACAAAATCATAAAATTAATTAGAGGTGCTTTACATTATTGTATTTTAATGTTAGAATTCGATATTTTAATTAGATTTAGTCAAATGCAATAATCTAATTTTTAAAATTATGATATAATTAACATAACGTTAAAAACAGAGCTATTTATATCTAGTTTGTATTTAACGAAAAGAATAATAAACTGAAATATGGTTCGTACTAGTTATTGCCACTATTACAAAAAAAAACCTTTACCTGAACAGGGCGCAAGAAAGTTATGGACAAAAAATATTATTAATTAAAATATGAATAAAATTAAAAATTGTTTACTTTAGATTGACTCTAAGATATTTAGCTACAGCTGAAACTTTAAATACGATAGGCAGAAGACAATGGCAGTATTTGGCCTTTATTGCAGTTTAAGTAAACAAATTTAAAATTTACTGGAATTTTACATGAGCGATGGGAAGTAATAAACAAATAATTTTTACTTTCCTATCTGTATACAGATATAAGGAAAGTATAGGAATCATGATTTTTTTCGACCTCGAGTTTTCGACGGATTTTTACGTTTTGAGGTCCCCTGAATCCGTTTTGACTATTTTCGCGATGATGTCTGTGTGTGTCTGTGTGTGTGTCTGTATAACGCATAACTCATGAACCGATACACGGAAAAACACCAAATTTCAAACTTAAGCTTTGTTCCAGCGTCTAATGAGCTGATTAGATTTTGGGCAGAGTCGGAACGTCTGGGGGGGTACTTTATAGGTGGTCTTTTTTATATTTTATGGAATATATCTGTTATTTACGTTTGGAGAAGAAAATTCTTCAAATAAAAGTTACTTCTAATATAATTATCTATAATTTTTGTTTTATACAAAATTTTCCTAAAATGGTCCGTATTCGAGAAATTTGACAAAATGTAAAAAAAATTATTTTTTTATAAAAATTGTTCAAACAAAAGTTGTTTGTAATATTATTGTCTATAATTTTTGTCCCATAGATAATATCTCTAAAATGGACCGTATTCGAGATATTTGAGAAAATGTGTAAATTTCAAAATTTGAAGAAAACTCAAAAACGGATAAAGAAAAAATCAATAAATTTTAAACTTAAGTTTTATTTCGGCCTGACGTAAAATGATTAGATTTTGGACAAAGTCGGAACATCTGGGGGGGCCGTTTTTATATTTTATGGAATATATCTGTTATTTATGTTTGGAGAAGAAAATTGTTCAAATAAAAGTTACTTTTAATATTATTATCTTTAATTTTTGCTTTATATAAAAATTTCCTGAAATGGTCCGTATTCGAGAAATTTGACAAAATGTGCAAAATTCTGATTTTTATGAAAATTGTTGAAATAAAAGTTGTTTGCGATATCGATCTCTATAATATTATAATATTTGTTCATACATGATTTTTTTTAAATGGACCGTAATGGAAAAATTGTAGGAAAAGTGCTAAATTTAAATTTTTCAGTATTTTCATTTTCAATGAATATCTATAGAAAAATGTTTCGCGGTAGATGCATGTGGACAATGTATATATTTAGTTTATCCTCTAAACATTTATAGAGATGCTGCAATAGGTTGTACACAATAAACGGAAAAAGCCTGTAATAACTAGATAGGAAAGTCATGTGTTGGACACATCAGATTTTTTAAGTTTGTCCTATTATTTATTTGTTAGAGGGTTTAAACCATTTACAAAATACATTAGGTTACTTATATGTATACAAAAAAATATTAATATTGTTAATGTAACAAGCACATATTTGTTTTACCTTACAGCTCTCACTTCAAATTATAAAGGCATAACTATTAACAACTATTTAATTTAAAAGTAAATTGAGTAGTAATCGGTGGTGCACAAAAGATACTAATTCACAGTACCTATCTGTTCAAAATCTTTACCATCAGCTTCATTGCAAGCATTAATCGTTCTTTTTGGAACTCATTATGCAGTTTCTCCTGTTATATTTTGTATTTCATTTAATATGGGTGCTCCAGTTCATAAACGTCACACAAACGATTTTGAATTGAGCGATCTGTAATATTCCATGGGTAGGTTTAACAAAATTAAGGTAAAATGATTGTTGCAATACCGAAACTTTATAGGGGATGCATTATCAGAAATGTTTTCAAAACTTTATGGCTACAAACCTAAAAAAATATGTTTTGAATTTCACTCGTCAGAGTCAGTCTTTGAAACACCGTTCATACCTGTTTTAAAGGTACTGTTTTTTTTTAATAATTTATTGGGAATGTGCATCATGTGAATTTGCACATCTTTAACAGCTTTTGTTATTACTGTAGCCTATTTAGAGCTTTTTCCTTTTTTTATAATTTTGAACAAGTATTTGTTTATGACGACAAAAAAGAATCACATTCCATTTATTCACCTGGAAAACGTTCCTCAAATTTTCGAATACAATTACAAATATAAAATAATTTTATTTCTTTGTAACATTACCTGAAATAAATTATATACAGTCATTAACTTTTACGAGTTACAGTAAATAAATTTGTACCTACCAACAAAAAAGAATTAAGCCACTAATAATCTTTAAAAATAACTAATTGCTATATTAATATTAAATGAAACATGGAATAAAGGTGTTTATAAAATGTAAACAAATATAATATAAATATTTTCAGTCCTCATGTTCCCAAATGAACGCCAGTGACATTTCTGACAGTTCAGTTTAGTCCCTTTTACGTCAAATCAGGCCCTTTCGATGGGTTTTTGATGGTTATCAAATCACGTGGGTTTCGGGTATTGTTGAAGACCTGGTATAACTCAACTAAGGGTATTACCTTTGCAAGCATTTTACGCCACTATTTAGACAATTTAAGGATCTTCCCAATAATGTGCTATTCGACCCCTTTTCCTATTTTATTTGTAATCAATTTGCTACGCTATTTATTACCTAAAACCATCATGGCTAATTATTTTGGGTGGATCATTCTGTATATTTTATGATAAAGTATATAGATCCAGGATTATAACGTAATTAGCTTTCCGGTTCCTAATCGCGTGCTTCTTCACTTAAATTTCTTTCTGATACAGACTAATGTAGAGAAAATGATATTAAAATTGTTATGAAAATGACAATATAATAGGTATAGTTTTATCAGCTACAAGGAAATTTTTATCAAAACCCAGGAACGTTGACCTGTTAAATGAGATTTCTTGTAAATAAAATAAATAAAATGTTTTGTATAACTATAACTAAATTAATCTCTAAATTTAGCGAGATACAGCTAAGAAATAATGACATCATAAATTATATCATTATCTCTCATATTTTTTTGATAAACAGATTCCTTATTTATTATAATATGCTAACAAAAGTTGTTTTGCTTTAATATTATATTTTGCCTATGACTCAGTCAATTTTAAAAATGACTTCCTATAATTATTTAAATTATAAGTAGAAATATTTAAGAGATAGAGAAGATTTATAAGTATTTATACAAGATTGTGTAGGTCGTTTAAATGATTTACTAATTATATTACAGAAAAAAATCCAATGGGATTATTTAGTAGGGTGAAAAATAACTTGATTTCACCAACTCTCCGCCTCTTCTCTTCTTTTATATCTAAGATTATTCTTCTATGTTCTGTCCAGTTTAGAGATTTTATACCGGTGGCAAATTTAGTGCGTATTTAATTTATAATATTTTTTAAATGGAACACCCTGTTTTTATTTCAATTTTAGAATAATACAAAGTAACAGAGTAATATTACAAA